GGAGCCTCTATATATGGGGAAGACTTTGAAATACGTGGAAGGAAGTGGCACGACTCGGGAGGGCTTGGGGGAGGGGTGTATATATATATATGTGTGTATATATATATATAGATGTGTGTGCGTGTGTATATATATACATATATATATACATATATGCAAATATATATAGAGAGAGAGAGAGAGAAAGAGAGAAGCCCATACGTAAGACATGTAGGATTGTGTACACAGGAGAAGGGCAATCTATAGAAACGTAGTGCGTCGTCCAAGACGCCTCGGAAGGCGCCTCGGAAAGCGCAGAATACTCCTCCAAGGCGCGGAATCATGTTCCCGGACCGCCTTCCGGGAACATGACGGGGACGACCTTCTGAGGGCCTCCAGTGCGCCTCTTGGGGGCCTCTTGGAGGCCTGTATATGTATATATATCTATATATACACATTATATATTTGTGTGTCTATATATATATATATATATATATATATATATATATATATATATATATAAATATATACATATATATATGCATATATATATATATATATATATATATATATATATGTATAGACCCATACGTAAGACATGTAGGACTGTGTACACAGGAGAAGGACAATACATATATATATATATATATATATATATATATATATATAGACATAGGTACGTTGTCCGAGGCGCCTCGGAAGGCGCCTCGGAAAACGCAGAATACTCTTCCCAGGCGCAGAATCATGTTCCCGGACAGCCTTGAGGGCCTCCAATGGGCCTCTTGGGGGCCTCTCGGTGGCCTGTTGGGCTTTCCTCGAGGCGTCTTGGGGCGCGTTCAGGGCCATTGTTGGGCATCTTGGGGGCCTCTATATATGGGGAAGAATTTAAAATGCGTGGAAGGAAGTGGCACGACTCGGGAAGGCTTGGGGGAGGGGTATATATATATATATATATATATATATATGTGTATAAATGTGTGTGCGTATGTATTTGTATATATATATATATATAGAGAGAGACCCATACGTAAGACATGTAGGATTGTGTACACAAGAGAAGGACAATCTATAGAAACATACGTACGTCGTTCAAGGCGCCTCGGAAGGCGCCTCGAAAAAGCACAGAATACTCCTCCAAGGCGCGGAATCATGTTCCCGGACCGCCTTCCGGGAACATGATGGGGACGACCTCCTGAGGGCCTCCAGTGGGCCTTATATATATATATATATATATATATATATATATGTATGTATGTATACATATATATAGACCAATACGTAAGACATGTATATCACAGAATACTCCTCCAAGGAGCGGAATCATGTTCCCGGACCGCCTTCCGGGAACATGACGGGGACGACCTCCTGAGGGCTTCCAGTGGGCCTCTTGGGGGCCTCTCGGAGGCCTGTTGGGCTCTCCTGGAGGCGTCTTGGGGCGCGCTCAGGGCAATTTGTGGGCCTCTTGGGGGCCTCTGGGGGCCTCCGGGGAGGCTCTTGGGGGCCTCTTCGGGGCCTCTTGGGGCCTGGCGGGGCCCTCTTGGGGACCGCTGGGCTCGTTTAGGCAATCTTGAAGCCCTGTCGGGGCTCTCCTGGAACCGTTTTGGGCGGCTCCTGGGCCATCTTGGGGCTCTCCTGGGCCGTCTTGGGACGATTTGGGGGTCTCTTGGGCCGTCTTGGGGCGGTCTTGGGGGTTTCTTCGGCCGTTTTGGAGCGGTTTTGGACGACTTTTGGACGGTCTTGGAGCGTCGGAACTCCGAAAAATCGAGAAAGCCAAAAACCTCTAAAAACACGATACCAATCAACGATTTTGGCTTGTCGGGGCTCTCTTGGGAAGCCTCTTGGGATGCCTTCGGGGCCTCATGGAGCTCTCTTGGAACGTCTTCGGGCCTTCCAGGCCATTCCTGAAGCTATCTACGCGCGTCTTGGAGCGCTCGGGCCGTCTCGGGCGGTCTCGAACTGTTCCTGGCGGTCCCGGGACGCTTCGGACGCTCCCGGGGGCGCCCTGCACCCCCCATGGAGATGACAGGCACCGCCCAGGGGCCCAACTCATATATATATATATATATATATATATATATATTATATATATATATATATATATATATATGAGCAAATAAAATCTCCAACCTGGTCACGCCAGAGTGTCCCCTGGAGCCTTGGACTGTCGAGGAGAAGGGCGAGACACTGAAATCTTGGGACGCGAAGTCGAAGCCAATCTGGCGCCAATCTGGCGGCCCCAATCTGTCGAGGAGAAGGGCGAGACACTGGAAACGCAAAGTCGTCTCAAAATCGACCCCGGGACTCCGAACGCTCCAACGTTTCGGGCTGCGCCCAGCCGCTGCGACGAGGGGCCCTAGACCAAGGTGCCCCCAGGACTCCCCGGGAAGCTTCGGCGGCGTCCACAGCACCCCTCCTCCTCCTTCTCCTGCTCCTCCTCTTCCTCCTCCTCCCTCTCCTCCTCCTCCTCCTCCTCCTCCTCCTCCTCCTCCTCCTCCTCCTCCTCCTCCTCCTCCTCGTCTTCCTCCTCATCCTCGTCCTTTCCCGAGCCATACAATAACAACTTGCGTGGAATCCCTCTCGGGCCCATCTTGGGGCTCTCTTGGGCCGCCTGTGGAGCCTCTTGTGATTTTGTGGGGGGCCTCGTCCCGTCGCTCGCTGGGAGTTTGACGTAGCTTCTCGGGAGCCTCTGAACCTGTCGGGGGCCTCCTGGAAGCAGGTTCGAAGCATTTTGGGGGCCGATTTGGGGCTTCTCGGGGCCTCCTTTGGGCCTCTTGGGGGTCTCCTGGGGCCTCTTGAGGGGCCTCCTTGGGGCCTCCTGGCGGCCTCTTGGGGCGGAAGGCTCGAGCTTGCGGTTCGTGGTCCCCCTCTGGGCCCCCTCTTGGGCCCGTTTCGGGGCCCTCTTGGGCCATCTTGGGCACCTCTTGGGCCGCTTTGGGGCCCTCTTGGGCTGTCCTGGGGCCCTCTTGGAAGCTTCTTGGGCCGTCTTGGGGCGGTCTTGGGCGCCTCTTGGGCCGTCCTGTAACGTCGGAAAGCCCAAAAAGCGACTTTGTGAAAAATTCACGTTTTACCAAAGGAATGGGTCAATGTTTGCGTCTAGGGGCCCTCTTGGGACGCATGTTGGAGGCTTCTTGGGGCGTCTTGGGGGCGTCCTTGGACGTCTGGGGTCTCCTGGGGCCTCTTGAGGGGCCTCCTGGGGGCCTCCTGGCGGCCTCTTGGGGCGGAAGGCTCGAGCTTGCGGTTCGTGGTCCCCCTCTGGGCCCCCTCTTGGGCCCGTCTTGGGGCCCTCTTGGGCCATCTTGGGCGCCTCTTGGGCCGTCTTGGGGCCCTCTTGGGCTGTCCTGGGGCCCTCTTGGAAGCTTCTTGGGCCGTCTTGGGGCGGTCTTGGGCGCCTCTTGGGCCGTCCTGTAACGTCGGAAAGCCCAAAAGACGACTTTGTGAAAAATGTACGTTTTACGAAGGGAATGGGTCAATTTTTGCGTCTAGGGGCCCTCTTGGGACGCATGTTGGAGGCTTCTTGGGGCGTCTTGGGGGCGTCCTTGGACGTCTGGGGTCTCCTGGGGCCTCTTGAGGGGCCTCCTGGGGGCCTCCTGGCGGCCTCTTGGGGCGGAAGGCTCGAGCTTGCGGTTCGTGGTCCCCCTCTGGGCCCCCTCTTGGGCCCGTCTTGGGGCCCTCTTGGGCCATCTTGGGCGCCTCTTGGGCCGTCTTGGGGCCCTCTTGGGCTGTCCTGGGGCCCTCTTGGAAGCTTCTTGGGCCGTCTTGGGGCGGTCTTGGGCGCCTCTTGGGCCGTCCTGTAACGTCGGAAAGCCCAAAAGACAACTTTGTTGAAAATGTACGTTTTACGAAGGGAATGGGCCAATTTTTGCGTCTAGGGGCCCTCTTGGGACGCATGTTGGAGGCTTCTTGGGGCCTCTTGGGGGCGTCCTTGGACGTCTGGAGGCCATCTTCAGCATCTCGGAGCCCTCTTGGAGGCCTCTTGGAAGTTTCTTGGGCCGTCTTGGGCGCTCCTGGGGCCGTCTTGTCTGACCGGGGAGGCCTCCGGCAAGCCCCGACGAGCCTCCAGGCCCCCCGGAGCCCACATTTGTGGTCGGGGTCCCGGCCCCGGGCCCCCGGACCCGGTGCGCCGTCATATGTATATACATATATATATATATATATATATATATATATATATACATATATATACATATATATATATATATATATATATATATATATATATATATGTGTGTGTGTGTGCGCATCTGCTTGAGGTTGAAGTCGCCCCCTCGAAGCACAGGAAACTGGAATTATTCCTGCTGCTGGGCGATCAGTGCTAGTAGGGACAAGTTGTTTCGGAAAGGCCAACCATTGTCTCAAAGTAGGCCGAACTCAAGATGAACTTCCCGAAACTCGGAAGATCCAGACAAAAACTCAGAAGCCGGTATCTCGTAGGACAGTGCATTGCGAACTTTAGTATAATACCGAAATTCGTGCCCTTCCTGCCCAAAATTACTACTCCACCTGAATATGTTCCACCTTGGAGTAGCAGACCTACCATGCCATCCGCGCACATCACAGAATCTCACTGCGTACTCTATCTTCGACTGAGATTGTATCTAGGTATCTTGTAATAGCAATATCTGTGCATACTCAAACTATGGATACTCCAGACGATCTCGGAAGGTCCTCCAAGACTTGATATTGAGCGTGTGGATCAAGAGGTTCCACTCTACCTGAGGCTGTTCCTTGACTTCGGGGGGTACTGACTCAGGTAGAATGCCGGGGTTCAAGCAACGTCCCCCCTATAGGGGGCGGGGCCGCCGTCACCTCTGGAGGAGGGCTCACTGCCCGTTTGGTTGGGAGGGCCTGGTTCGTGGAAATTTGAGCCCGGGGGGGCCCAATGCCATCACTCGCGGAACCGTTTTTGGGAGGCTGCCCACGCCCACGTCCGAGATGGTGGCTGTCTGCCGACGCCGATCCTCCACTCTCCATTCCTTTCCCCTTTCCCACCTTTCTTCCTTTTTTCCCTTTCGGTCCTCCGCACCCCGTGGTTGCAGATGCATGTTGCGATATAGCTTCTAGTCTCTTCCTGCCAATATGCTGTAAGATCTTCTGTGTGCGCTGATCTACAACATCACCGTGCCTAGGGCCGTCTATGCAATTATCTTCTTCTGTCGTACCCGCGTTGACCTCGATAGCTGGTGGAGCCCCTGCTGCTACTGCTCCTCCCCCTTCATGGACTGGCTGGAAACCTGCGCCAGCTGCGGGTGCTGCTTGCTCTGCATGTTCAGCTGCCGCTGCATTATCCAGCTCCTGGCTCTCTTGCTGCATGATGATGCTGTCCTGCATGACGCCTGATAGCTGTTGTAGAGCAGCGTCCAAGTTCACAGCGTTAGCCTGTAAACTAGGGAACATGGATGTGATGTGCATGCGAAGTTCGCAACCTGTGTATCAACATTGGCCTGTGGCGTCATCCCTTCTGATACTTGGAAGGATTGGGCTGCTACCTTTACCTCCAGTTTTTGCTTCTTGGCTTCTATATTACTTAGCCCCACTGACATCTGAGAAATTGCATCGCCCATGCTTCGGTGCTGGACGTCGAGCACCTGGATTTGCTGAGCGAGCAGCTGGTACTTGTTTACCATCTTGCCTAGACGAGCTTGGTGGGAAGCAATATGATCGGTAAGACTCCTTACTTGCTGGGATGTCGGCTTGGCCTCGAAGACTGACTCTCTTGCTTCCCGGAGAGTTAGTAGGGCCCTCTGGGTACTAGGGTGGTCCTCACCGTAGTAGAGCTTAAAGTGCTCACAATCTTTCTGGCCAGGGATATAGGGTCCTTCTTGGTGAGGTTCCAGGATAGAGCGAAATGCTGACTTTGCTTATCTTTATGTGGCGAATTGTTCCGGGTAGTGCCGTTATGGACCCAACTATTCGGCAGAAATCCGTTGTGGCTTGCACAGGGGACTGGGCTATCTACGCCCCAAGATGGCCCACGAGGTTTAACTACTGTATCCTTGCCCTTGCCCTTGAAGAGTTTCTTCCCCTTACCTTTTGAGAAGCGGTAATCGGTGCCGGGATGACGCTGCCATGGGCGTCGAACTGGTACTTCGTCAAAAGATCCTCCGCAATATCCACACTGCTCGATGCCCCTTGCACGCCATACCCATCCTGGGCATCCAGGGGTCAAACAAGTCGCAGTCCATTGATTGGACATCCTGTTGCGTGCGAGGGGGGGCTGAACACAGATATGGTGTCCTGTGCGCAGCAAAGATTGCATGAAAGTACTAGGGTTAAAAAGGGCCCTACCCTGCGTTGACCAGGGGTGTTTGAACCCGAGGTTGGACGAGAGCCCCACGAGGAGGCCCGTGGAGCTTGAGCCGAAATGGCTACGGGGTCGAAGCCAAGTACACCAGTGAGTGGAAGAGGAGGGAGGAAAGACAAATGACGAAAGACCAAGGATCAAGGAAGGAGGGGGAAGAGGAGAACGACGACGACGACGACGACGCTGACCCACGCTGACGCCGACGCAGAAGTCGACGCCAAAGCCGACGCCGACGCATACAACGATGACGACGACGACGGCGCCGCCAGCGCCGCCAGCGCAAACGACGACGGCGCCACCTTAGCCGACGACGAACGACGGCGACGCCACCGACGACGCCAACGCCGACGACGAGGGACGACGAACAACGAACGACGGACGACGGACGCAGAAAGCCGAACGCCGAACGCCGCACGACGAACTCAGAATTCCGACGTCTTCATTCCCAACCATCCTGTGGTGTTGGGTCCTCGTCTTGAAGAGACAGCGCCCCGCGTCACCTCCCACCCGCTGCTCTCTTCTCCGTATCCTCCTTCACCTCCTCATCCTCATGTCCACGTCGTCATCACGCGGATCACCATTACCACAATCATCGTCAAAATCGTCATCATCGTCCTAATCATGTGCGTCAACGTGAAATCACATCATCATCATCATCATCATCATCATCATCATCATCATCATCATCATCATCATCATCATCATCATCATCATCATCACCATCACAATCACCATCACCGTCATGACCATCATCATCACCATCTTCGCCATCTTCGTCCTCACCATCGTCATCATCATCGTCGTCGTCGCCATCATCATCATGGAGAGTTCCACCGAAAACCCCAGTGTGAAAGTTCGCACGCAGTTACACCCAAATTTTCGTCGCACACCTCACACGGTTCGTGGCCCGATAAGGAGCCCCACCGCAAGCCCCAAGGGTAAAGTTCGCATGCAGTTACACCCCCCATGTCGGCACATCCCTCGCACGGTTCGTGGCCCAATACGGAGCTCCACCGAAAGTCCCGGTGGAAAATTCGCATAGAGTTCCACCCCCCATATCGGCGCACCCCTCACACGGCTCGTGGCCCCAAAGGGAGCTCCACTGAAGGCCCCAGTGTGAAAAATCGCACGCAATTCCACTCCCATTTCGGCGTGCCCCTCACACGGTTGGCGGCCCCATACGGAGGAGCTCCACCGGAAACCCCACTGGGAAAGTCGCATGCAGTTCCACCCCCCAGTTCAACGTACTCCTCACACGGTTCGTGGCCCCGTAGGGAGCTCCGCCGAAGGCCCCAGTGAGAAAGTTCGCAAGCGTTCCACCCCCCATGTCGAAGCACCCCTCACACGGTTCGTGGCCCCATAAGCTGCCCCATCGAAAGCCCCCATGTCGGCGCATCCCCCATACTGTTCGTGGGCCTATAGGGAACCGTCAAAAAACTATAGCGCCGCCCGAGCGATAGGATGCCGTTTAAATTGAAGTATTCGGGCGTCGCGCTCCTGTGCACGTTCTCAACATATCCTCGTGCGCGGATGGTCGTTTTTTTCGCAAACACCAGCAGGGAGCCCCACCGAAGGCCCCAGTGGGAAGGTTCGCATGCAGATCCACCCCGCAGGTAGCCCCATACACGCACACCTCACACGGGTTGTGGCTTGAGCCCCACCGCAGGCCCCAGTACGACATTTCACACGCAGGTCCACCCCCCACGCCGGCGCACCTACCTCACACGGTTCGTGGCCCCATACTGAGGCGTGCGTTAAAAATGACCGCGGAGAATTGAGCCGCCGAGACAGATCTCCGCCCCTTGAACTTTTCCACTCACGAGGCTTTGGTGAAACCGCGGACAGTCTTGACCCTTGCTGGACACTGAAATTCAGACCGAGCTGCCCCAAATCGCGCCTTTCGGGAGGAGATCGAAGCGCGAATACCACGGCGCACCCATGCGGCGGTAGCCGAATCTGTCGCCGCTCCAAGGCGAACGCGCAGCCCGCGCCCCCCCCCCCAGCGATGCAAAGCGAGCAACGAACGACGCGACGACGTCACCGATGAGGTCCATTGCCGTCGTCTCTTGTCGGTCTCCTGAGCTTTGCATCAGGGGGGTGGGGGGTGCGGGGGCCGTCGCGGCGCTTGCCTTGGCGACTTCCAAGATGCCGTCAAAATAAAAGTGCCGACCGTGCGGACTTTTCGGGAAAGCATTTGGGCGTCGCGCTGCTGTGCATGTTCTCAACATATCCTCACGCGCGGATGGTTGTCTTATTCCGCACGCACTGGTAGGGAGCCCCACCGAAGGCCCAAGTGGGAAAGTTCGCATGCAGATCCACCCCGCATGTCGGCGCACACCTCACACGGGTTGTGGCCCCAGAGAGACCCCCACCGCAGGCCCCAGTGGGAAAGATCGCATGCAGTTCCACCCCCCATGTCGGCGCATCCCTCACACGGTTCGTGACCCCATAGGGAGCTCCACCGAAGGCCCAGTGGGAAAGTTCGCACGCAGTTCCACCCCCAATTTCGTCGCACACCTCACACGGTTCGTGGCCCCATAGGGAGCTCCACCGCAGGCCCCAGTAGGGAAGTTCGCATGCAGTTCCACACCCCATTTCGGCACACGGCTCCACCGAAGGCCCCACTGGGAAAGTTGGCATGCAGTTCCACCTCCCATTTCAACGTACTCCTCGCACAGTTCGTGGCTCCACAGGGGACTCCACCGAAGACCCCAGTGGGAAAGTTATCCCAAATTTCGGCGTACTCTTCACACGGTTCGTCGCCCCATAGGGAGCCCCTCCGCAGGCCTCAGTGGGGAAGTTCGCATGCAGTTCCATTCCCCATTTCGGCGCACCCATCACGGCCCAATGGGAGCTCCACCGAAGGCCCCAGCGTTCGCATACAGTTCCACCCCCACTTCGGCTCATCTCTCGTTTGTTTCGTCGCCCTATCGAGAGCTTTACCGAAGACGATACTTCCAGTTACGGCACTCACAACTGCATATGGTTGGGTCCTTCGCCAGGCTATTGTTTCAAAACGGGGTCCCCAAACCTCGACCCCTTCCTGGGGACCATCTTTGCGTCCTGAGTCTTTGTTTGACGGTCCCGAGGCACGGCGAGTGCCCGCAGAGGCCGAAAACAGCGAAAAAGCATACAGTTTCGATTGTCTCAATTATTACCGTGGAGGTCTGGGAACGACGACGACGACGACGACGACGAGGAAGACGACGACGACGACGACGACGACGACGATGACAACGACGACGACGACGAGGAAGACGACGACGACGACGACGACGACGACGACGACGACGACGACGACGACGGCGACGACGCCGACGGCGACGACGCCGACGACGACGACGACGACGACGACGACGACGACGACCTGCGTCGCCCGGCGGGTCCTCCAGCCGCAGCTCCCGGAGCCCGCTGCCCGCGAGCGCCCGCTGCAGCGCCTGGGCGGTCCGCGGGCCGCAGGCGTTGGAGCTCAGCGACAGGCGCCTTCTGCGCGGGAGGGGGCGGGGACACGATCGGTCTTTGGCTCGGCTGCTCGCAAGAGTTCGGGGAGCAAACACTGAGCATCGTTTATCCGGTCCCCATCCCCAGCTGCGTGGCCTGGTCCCCGCAGGCCAATTTACCCCCCGGATGGGGGTATATGGTCCAGGGCTTGGGCCCCCCCCAATGCTGATGACATTGGGCCCCCCCCCCCCGCGCGATGGTCCCCCCCGCCCCCCCCTGTGGGCGCGGCGTGGTGCTACACTGCGGTGCCCCCCCCCCCTGTGGATGTGGTGTGGTGCTGTGGTGGTTCAGAGGTGGGCGTGGCGTGGTGCTGCGCTGCGGTGCCCCCCTCCCCCCCCGTGTGGATGTGGTGTGGTGCTGTGGTGGTTCAGAGGTCGTCGTCGTCGTTGTCGTCGTCGTCCTCGTCGTCCTCGTCGTCCTCGTCGTCCTCGTCGTTTTCGCCGTCGTCGCCGCCGCAGCCGTCATCGTCGTCGTCGTGGTCGTCGTCGTCACCGTCGTCATCGTCGTCATCGTCGTCGTCGCCGCCGCCGCCGCCGGCGTCGTCGCCGCCGCAGCCGTCATCGTCGTCGTCGTGGTCGTCGTCGTCGTCGTCGTCGTAGTCGTCGTCGTCGTCGTCGTCGCCGTCGCCGTCGTCGTCGTCGTCGTCGTCGTCGGCGTCGTCGTCTTCGTCGTCGTCGTCGTCGTCGTCGTCGTCGTCGTCGTCGTCGTCGTCGTCGTCGTCGTCGTCGTCGTCGTCGTCGTCGTCGTCGTCGTCGTCTCTGGGACCATACCATCTGGGGGGAGGTTAGGGTTTTGTCTCCACCCCCTGGAACAAGGCTCGCGGAGGAGTTTGGAGATGTTTCGCATGAGTTTTTTTTGCGCATTACACGTTGATTCCCTTTGTGGCGGATCACGAATTGATTCCTTTTGTGGCAGATTATAATTTGATTCCCTTCGTGGCGGACTACTCATTGATTCCTTTTGTGGCGGATTACACATTGATTACTTTTGTAGCGGATTACAAATTGATGTCTTTTGTGGCGGATTACAAATTGATTCCTTTTGTGGTGAGCTACAAAGTGATTCCCTTTGTGGCGGGTTACAAATTGATCCCTTCTGTGGCGGATTACAAAAGGAATCCTCCTGTGGCGAATTACACATTAATTCCTTTTGTGGCAAGCCCAGCTGGTAGTGGCCCAGGTCTCAAAAGAGAGGAAAAAACAAAAAACAAAAAAAAACAACAAAAAAAACGTTTAAACTAGTCGAAAATAAACGACTTTCAATCGTTTTTGAAGTTTGGGACCAAAAACATATGAAAACATAGAATTGCCTACCTCCTGGGAGCCCAAACCATATAAAACATAGCATTCTGTTGTGTTTTATATGGTTTGGGCTCCCAGGAGGTAGGAAATGCTATGTGTTCATGAATTTTGGCACCAAAACCCAAAAACGATTGAAAGTCGTAAACGTTCGACAAGGTTCCATGGCTTCTTGTTTTTTTCCGTTTCTTTTCTTTTGTGACCTGGGTCACTACCAGCTGGGCTTGCCACAAAAGACATTCATTCGTAATTCGCCACAAAAGGATT